AAAAACCCCATGTTTCGCGCTTAGGCAAAAGTGACCAGTGGTTAAGCCAGAGCTAATGTTGACCGCGTCCAGTCATGCCAGAGACCACGTCATTGTGTATGAGAGCGATTGTGGCACCTGCTATTACATGATTTTAAGGCATGTTCAAGTGATTGGTGACCGACGTGTCGCAGTGATCGATAGTTGTTTGTCACACATTGAGCCCGCTGCTGCATCGGCCGAAGGATGGTATGTTGAAGTGGCCCTTGGACGAATACGAGGATTTGGAGGTGCATCTGCACGCGAGGGGAAGTAGGTCAAGGGTTTTCACGTTAGGGAGTTGGGAAAGCGATCCCTGTAAAGATGCATTACCTAGGGGGCTCTGGGCGTTGAACAGGGAGCAAAGACTCTCCATCAAAAAGGCCACGTCTGCGAATGGCACGCAACTGATTTCGTGGCTTAGCCCCAACGCACATCTCCTGAAACAGTCCAACTCCTGCCATCACACCAGTCAACAAAATTTAAAAGGGATTAATAAGTAGCCCAAAATTCTGATGAAAATTCTGTGAGTTTTAAGTCATTTGTATTCAGAATTGAGACAGATAAAGCAGACGTTGTCACTACAGATCGAGAGGCAATGTGCGAATAATGGCACTAGTGAAATGGCCTGCAAAACACGGTCGAATTCCTGAACATTATGGCGAGTGCTGTATGAAACATTCGGAAATTTAAAAGAGACCCGTAATCACTCGCAAACAAACATTGAATAAGATTGCCATAGTGTTTATCATGCAGTCGACTTTCAATTTTTTTCAGTCACGCTAGGATGCCGACTATGTGATAAGCTTTTTTCTGACCGCTGCGAAAAAGTCGATTCTGTAAAGAAGTGGCTACCTAAATAGTATTCATTTTATCATTGAGTTTGACTGCCTTTATTAATTCAAATATATTTTATGGAAAGCAAGGATGAAAAAAACATCTCTTGTACTTATTTGATAGCAAATTACGCTTTCTTTAAATGTTATTATTAAAGGAACTGTTTCCTT